CCTATGGACTCACAGAGGGACCGATATAGCCACACAGACGCATAGACTAACACTGAGACCTACAGACACACACAGACACCTATGGACTCACTGAGGGACCGATATAGCCACACAGACGCATAGACTAACACTGACACCTACAGACTCACACGGAAACATATTGTACTCACAGAGAGATCCATACATTTACATAGAACTATAGACCCGCATAGAAACCAACCATAGTTTCGTTATGGGTTAGGCCATGTGGTCATTTTGTGGCAACATTCTTGTCATAACCCTGCTTGTTTTCACGTTCACAAAAAACATTGTGTTTATACTGTACGTGTCAATGTAAGGGTCAAACTCTGAACTATGAAAGCTACTTCTCCTTTACTTTTGGCTGAAAACCTTTGACTACCAAATTCCACATCAACGCACCACGACGCGTGGCTCAGGCTGCCTCGGAGCTTAATCGTCCGATCGCGAGCTCTGACTTTTTGAAATGATCAGACCGCGCCGGCTCAAGCAGACTTGCATCTCACGTTAAGCTGAATGCATCCTCCCCACGTTTCCCGAAACGTCGTTCGTGACAAACGTGTTGTTATTGATCTTCTTGGTTCTTTCGGTAAAGTCACGTAGAAGGGAAGTAATAAAATAATAAAAATAAAACGTAATAAAATAATTCTCACGACGTTTCGGCCACAACGCAAGCAGCCGTCCTCAGGTGAAGACCAGGTCTGTCGGGGAGAGTTTCAGACGCTGTCTCCCCGACAGACCTGGTCTTCACCTGAGGACGGCTGCTTGCGTTGTGGCCGAAATAACGCAAGCAGCCGTCCTCGGGTTATTATTGTATTACTTCCCTTCTACGTGACTTTACCGAAAGAACCAAGAAGATGAATCCCTGCAGTCACGAAAGCTTTACATCGAAATTTAGTGTTGTTATTTGTGGCTCGTGCGCCAGCGCTAACGCAACAGCAGCAACGGAAGATTTGTTTCCTGAAAATCCAGTTCTGCTCAATTCCTCTTGACAGGTCCGTTGAGAATCAACCATTTCTATGTCCTCGGTTTTGTTTTTACTAACTAAGGCCCACCCAGACATACTGGATCGTCATTTTTCAGAAGCGACTTGGCTATATACAAGTGACAGCTCAACGAAGTCGCTCATCATCCTCGCGTGGAAATGTACAGCAGTAAATACTCTCCACACGCGATGCTGATTCTGAATGTGGAGGACAAAGACCGGAGGACCTGGAGAAAAATCTACCGCGATCACGGAGGAAGAGAGAGACGCAAACTCGAAATATATAGCAGGTGTCAGGATCAGGATCGAACCCACGAACTCCTACATTACAGGCGAGGTAGTTAACATATCCTAGCCACCGTGATAATGCTTATGATAGAAAGAGACACGAAAACTCAAAATATACAGCAGGCGTCAGGGTTTGGGATCGATCCCACGACCTCCTGTATACCAGGCGAGGTAGTTAACATATCCTAGCCACCGTGATAATGATTATGATAGAGAGAGACACGAAAACTCCAAATATACAGCAGGCGTCAGGGTTTGGGATCGATCCCACGACCTCCTGTATACCAGGCGAGGTAGTTAACATCTCCTAGCCACCGTGATGATGATAAGAGAGAGAGAGAGACACGCAAACTCCAAATATATAGCAGCTGTCAGGATCAGGATCGAACCCACGACCTCCTGCATGTCAGGCGTAGTTCGTTAACATCTCCTAGCCACCGTGGTGACTTCTCAAGGTGGGAGACCCCCATTCACAGCCCCATTCACAGCCCCGATGTAAGTGCGCGAGAGCTGTCGTGGTGCCATAGCGGCAACACCGGACAAAGCAAGGGGCCGTCGGTTAAATTCGATCTTCCGGCGCGGCAGTTGAAGCAATGAGAAGAAAACGTTTCTTAACCCCCCCTCCTCCTCCTCCTCCCACCCCCTGCCTCTATCCATCGATTATAGTTGTCGGAGGTGCACGTCAATTCGTCGTGAGCAGGTCACGTGGTGTGGGGTTAAAGTGTGGGTGCTCCAACCTCTTACAGCTCCCGAAAGCAAAGGCCCTTCCACCAGCAGTGGCGTGAGCAAGCACTTGCAGGGCTGCGCCTTTGCCTCGTCAGTCCACCACTGGATGAAGACATCCCCCTCCCCTCCCCTCCCCCGAAGTGGCGTTCGACGTGGAGGCTGATTTAACCATACTTCACCGCGCTAGTCACCGCGGGTTGGTGAAGGGAGGTGGAGGCGTCTCGGAGCAGTTCTGATATCACTCTCCACTCAGGCTGTCGAGGTCATCGCGCTGTGCGCTAATCACTGCGCCACCACTCCACCCGCTGGGATCCAGATCTACCGAATAGGCCCCCTCTCTCGTGTGTAATCCGTATAATCTTGGAACGTTGTTATCATCTCCGTAATACTTGCAACTGTGTTTGAGGCTATCGTTGGGATGATGATGACGATGGTGATGATGATGGGTATTGCTACTAATTTGTATTTTAATGACGCACTTTTTAATTTTTTGCATGTTGGCCATGGAAAGGAACACAATGCCACCAATGTTGTTGATGACGATTTTGATAACGATTTTGATGTAAATGACGATGCTGATCACGATGATGCTGATGATGACGATGTTGCAGATGACGATGTTGATGTAAATAACATTGATCCCACTTTTCAGTGGTACGGGTTGTCTTTTTTTTAAAGGAATTATTATTTTCTATCAGTCCAATAAATATTCCAACAGACTTTTCCATCTCGAATAAACGTAACTTGGTGGGGAGTGGCGGCGCAGCAGTGATATCATTTACACTACGAACCAGGTTGCCTTTAGTTTGATTGACATCATTAGCGGCGAATGATATCATAACCAGTCATGGACACCCCCCACATCTCTTCCAACCCGCAACTGACCAACGTGGTGAAGTATGGTCAAACAACAGCACCCCCTCCCCTCCCCCATCATCAAAAGGCTTTGGGAGGTCTTCATCCAGCAGTAGATTATAAATAAGCAACTCGGAAACCCAGTCATTCAGAAAAAAGTGTGCCGATGACAATTAAACTCTTTCGTCAATAACATTGTGGCCTTAACAGGCGACGTTTCGGGCAATTGCCCTTCATCATGGCGCACAAGAAGAATTGAGGAATTCACGCACAACACTGCTGGCTCCACGGTGAAAATAATGAAATAAAAGTACTTAAGCGACTGCGTTGGCAGTGGTGACACAAACACAGATTAAAAACCAGACCACGTCTCTCATTAAAGCTGCCGTCTTTCAACCGAGTTACTGGGTGGGAGTGGTGACGCAGTGATTAGCGCGCTGCACTATGAAGTTAAAACTCGCCAACCGGATAAGTTAGATTCTTGGTCAAGGCTAAAACCATCATCGTCATCATCGATGGCGAGAGACATATAAACCAGTTCCTGGGACAAACTCCGAAACACACGGTCCGTAAAATCCGACGGAAGCTTGTGTTACCTCCGAAACGTCGTGATTTTTATTTTATTTTTTATTTTACTTTTATTAATTAAAATGTTTTACCTACGTGAATGAATCCCCCGTGTTAGCCTTGAACAGACTGTTGGGGCAAGGACTATTAGCGAGCACCAGGGAGTGAGTGGCCGACATGACGCCCTGCCGCGTTAGTCTCTCATTTGAGGCCGAGTCAACCTGAAGCGAGGCCCCTACCCTGTTAAAATATTCGCCAGATTTAAGTTGCGAATATTTCGCCGGGATCGTAGTGCAGCGCGCCGGCTACTACACCTTCCGTCCCCCAAATACAGGTATACAAATACAAAGATCCCCCATATAGCCTTAGCAGGCTGTTGGGGCAAGTGCTGTTAGCGACGCAGCACCTATGAAGGCCAGCACGGCACAGGAGGGGGGTCGGTGGGTGGCCAGCACCCACACACAGAAACACGTGCATACGTACACATGCCACATGTGTCCTCGGGTATGGAGCGCAGTGCACTAACTGCCGTGCCACCGCTCCTTCTCCGTTCTAACCCGTTCCTATTCTTTCGTACTTGCTGATGTAGCTGCAGAGCAACAACGCAATTGTTTCCATTCAGGTGGTCAAGCGCAGACAACGGCGTCAGGAGGTAGCGGGAGCGTACCGCTGTATTTGTGGATGGGGCATTGCCGCGTCGTCTGGCTCGGGATGAGCGCCGGTGTGTCAATGATCGACGCGGGGAGGGAGAGCGAGCACAAGTCGGGGAACCTATCCCCCTATCCGATCATCGTGGCGGAGCCGCTTTCTTCCTGGGGTTGAGGGATTCAAGTCGCGCGGCTGTAGCGCGTGTTGCGCTCGTGTGCCGGGTGCCCACCTGTACGTGTCTGTGTGTGTCTGTGCGCTGTCTGTGTGCGCGCGTGTGTGTGTGGGGGCTAGCGGTAGTGTAGCGGATAGCGCGCTGCGCTACGAACCCAGTCACCCGACGCACCCGCTCACGGCCACCAACACCAGTGACGATTATCTGAACCGGTCCTGGGGATCCTCTGTGTTAACTCAGCCTTAAACGAGCACCTGGTGCGGTGTGTAAAAACAAAATCACTAGTGGAGAGACCAAATGCGGCCGTGCGGGCAGTTGGCCACGGACCTTCTCCCGGCGCCGTTCCGACCTGAACAGCTGCTCGGTCACTGAACTTTTCCCCAAAAGTCCGTCAAAGGCTATACGGGGGACCTTTGTCTTTGTGTATGCACGTGTAAACGCGGTGTTGTCTGCCTACACACTCCTGTTCGTGTGTGCGAGATTGTGTGTTCTCGGGTCTGCGTGTGGGTGTGCGTGTTTTGTATGCGTGTTGCACGTGTTGCTACGTGTGTGCTCCTGTGCACGTGTGCGTCCAGCCTTTGAGCGTGTGCATGTGTTGAATACCGTGTGCCTGCACACACACACACGTTGCTTGCGTGTGTTGCGTGTGTTGCGTATGGTGTTGCGTGTGGTGTTGCGTGTGTTGCATGTGGTGTTGCGCGCGCACGTGCGGCATGATCAACGTGCGACAAATCACTCAACCTCGTTTGCCGAGACGCCGGGAAGACAAAGGCGGCCGGGAGGGGACTTCCGGCAGCTCCGAATGAAGAGACTCGTATGACAGAGACAATAGCGGCGGGGCTGAGAGTTACCGCGACTCCAGGAGAGGGAGAGAGAGAGAGATACTGAAGATGATGATGACCGTTGAATCTTGAACCACCGCGCTTGGCTCCTGCGTTCAGTTGCAGCGACGCTGAGTCTTCTCGCTCTCTACTGAGAGAGAGAGATGGGTGGATGGGTGTGTGTTTGAGCGAAAGAGATCTGTGTGTGTGTGAGTAAGAGAGAGAGAGGCAGACGACAAGTGCTGAAGTTCTGGGTCTGTCCGACTGGTCTAGTAAACCCGGCGCGCACTCCCAGGCAGCGAGTGGAGCTGAGCTCTGTGGGAGAAGGGGCTTCTCTCTTCATTTAAAGCTCCGCCTCTCTCTCTCTCCCCTGCCCCCCCTCTATCTCCCCTCTCTCTCTCCTTCCTCCCTCCCTTCCTACGACTTCCCGAAGTGACCTACCTCCCCTAACACTCTGCCTCATTTTCCCCTACCCACACCCCCCCCCCCCAGGACAAAGATAAAGCTCACCCGTGTAGCCCGCACGCGTCGTGGGCGCTGAGGCAAGTGCCGCTAGCGAGCGCCTACGAAGTCCGGCGTGGTCTTTCACACGGCGCACCGTGCACACAACTCGTGCTTTTAGGGCGATGGGGAGGGAGGAGTCGGACAGGTTTAGCTATCGCTGAGCAGTCCGTGGACGGGCATCCAACTCGGTCCATGTCGCAGTGCGCTGACCCACAGCGCTCTACAAAGGCAAAGACTCCCCACTTCAACAGGCTGTCGGGGCAAGTGCTGTTCGCGGCCACTCGCGAGTTCCACCCCGCACACGAGGGGGTGGTGTCGGCAGCGCCGCGCCCGGCCACCTTTGGCTCACCAGTGGAGATGAAACTCGATAGCGCAGCGAGCCATAATCACTGCGCTACCACTCCCAACACTCATCTATAACAAAGACCCCCCCGTGTAGCCTGTATAGACTGTAGGGGCCAAGTGCTGGTAGCGAGCACCTATTGAAGACCGGCAGGGCACACGAGGGGGTGGGTGGCCAACACCACGCCCGGCCGCCTTTGTCGCCCTAGTGGCGATGTTTACACATCGCACCAGGTACTCATTTGAGGCTGAGTCGACCTAGGGGAGGTCCAGGACCGGTTCAGATATAATCGTCACCGGTGTTGGCCGTGAGCGGGAAACGAATCGGGGGTCGTCAGGTTCGTAGCGCAACGCGATACACACACTGGCGCACACACTGCAACTTACAACTCTTCGACATCCCATGCCTAACCCCCCAACCTCCCGGCACTTACCCAAGCACCCGACCCCTCCCTTCCCCATTCCACCGCCGTGCCTCTGTGAGCTTGGAGGAAGCGTTATTTGTGAAGGCTACGTGTAGGGGGTCGTGTCCACGCCTAATGCGCCTAATGTTGAACTTGCAACGTACCCATGTCACAAACACGGTCATTCCACGCATGCATTCACTTCTCTAAAATGTCAAAGGAACACCAGAGCGGCTATTGTCATTCACCACCTTCCCGCTGCATCTATAGGGAAGAGCATTTAAATATTGGACCACCAGCGCCGCATACAAATGGAGAAAACAATAACTTAATAATATATTTCTTTTTTAAAGAAAAGGCTTTAACTCGACACATATTCCGAGGCATCGAGTTTGCATTAACCACACATGCCTGTGGTAAAACGTGCGAACAACTATGCCTTGATAATGTATGCATTGCGCTCGAAAATTATTGGCCTACACCATAGACATTCTCCTATATGGCTTCGTCTCAGCGGTGCTATAGAGCAAATGACGCCAAAAGGAGTGCGTTAACCACTGCGCCACCGCTCTTTGATACACGCACGAATTAATACATCTACCAAGACAAATATCCACCCTTAACAGCCTTTTGGGACAAGTGCTGTTAGCGAGCATCTACGAAGGCTGGTACAGAACACGAGGGGGTGGGTGGCCAGCGCCACGCCCGGCCGCCTTTGTCTCCCTCGTGGCGATGTTTACACACCGCACCAGGTACTCATTCGAGGCCGAGTCAACCTAGGAGGCAGCCCAGAACCGGATACGTACACGTGCACGCACCGTGGATGACGCTGACCCTTTTCTGGTCACTGCTTGTGGCAGGAATCATTGAGCATTGCTCTCCTGAACTCCCTCCCACGCTCCCTCTGTCTCTCTCTCTGTCTGTCCCCGTGTCCACGTTGTTGCATGCGGCTCTTGCTACCACGCTTATGTGAGTCAATCAGCCTCGGCTGTGACGCCTCTTGCCCCCCCCCCCACCTCCTCCCCCAACCCCAAGGCGCTTTTTAAAACCTCGAACTTTATTCGCTCAGTGGAAATGCAAAGTCCGTATACTCACTCAAACGCATACGCCGAAGAGACAAATATCAACAACCGTATAGCCTTCGACAGACTATTTGGGGCAAGTGCTGTTAGCGAGAGACCTATAGAGGCCGTCACGGCCAGCAGCACGCCCGGTCGTCTTTGTTTCCCTAACACGGATGCGTACACACCGCACCAAGTACTCATTTGAGGCTGAGTCGAACTAGGGGAAGCCCAGGATTGGGTCGAATATATTTAACCGCCGAGATTAGTCGTGGTCAGGAGTCAAAAACTCAGATGCCCGAGATCGCAGCGCAGTCCAAAACACACCGCTTAACAGAGGTTGCAACCGAGTACCCGATACCCGTACCCTACACGATACCCGGCTACCCGTACCAGGCCGGGTACGGGTAGCCGTTTGCGACCCTGGTGCGGCCGGGTACGGGTAGGCCGTGAGTCACTGGTGAGTAACCGTTTGTCACTCATTTCGGGAAGGGTACGGGTACGGGTAGGGAACGGGAACCCGTACCTGGCCGGGTACGGGTACCCATTTGCGACCCTGGTGCGGCCGGGTACGGGTACGGGTAAGGAATCAAAACCCGTTTACGACCTCTGCCGCTTAACCCACGCCAAGATCCCCTTGAGAGCCTTGAGAGACTGGAAGAGCAATTTGCTGTAAGCGAGTCGCACCTGAGAAAGCCGGAACGGCACACGAGGGGATGGGTGGCCAACGCCACGCGCGGCCGTCTTTGTCTACCTTCCAGTTCTGGTGTTCTACTCATCGAGCACGACCTACTGATTTAAGGTCGAGTTGATCTAGGGGAGGCAGACTCACACTGGCGGAATCCGATGAGCTATAAAATCTCTTTTTTTCCTTCCACAAATGTCCATTGGAGGCACTCGGCCGGTTCAGAAAAACACCGCTGAGGTTTTGCCGTGCACGGCAATCGAACTTGGGAGGCCACCATGTATATTCAAACACGCATACGTGTACACCAACATCCTTATCAGCCATGGTCAATCCACTGCTGGATAAAGGGCTCTCCACGAGTCATCTACCACCGTCCTTTTCGTTCCCGCCATGCAACAATGAATCTGCCTCCTGCCCACGAGTTTAGGTGCCGAGGTGGTTGGCCCATGTTGGGGGCTCGCCATGAGCTTCTGATACGGCGTGGACGATAAAATCGTCTGTCCATTCTATAAGACGGGATATAGTGTTGCTCCTTCGCACCTGTGGGGTTTTTTTAGGATGCTCGTGTGCCGTTGACTGCCTTCATAGGTGCTCGCTAACAGCACTTGCCCCAACAGTCTGTTAAGGCTATAGGGGGTGACACTTGTATTTTGTATACGAATGTGTATCTGCGTGGTGTATGTCCAGCATTAACGTTTTTATTATTTTACCAGGTAAGGCCGACTGAGCAATATCGCTCTTTTTCAGAAGCAACCTGGCCATAATGACAGCTCGACAAAGTGGCTTATCACGTGTAAATTTAAAGCAGCCGAATACTCTAAACGAATGTTGATTCTTAATTAATTCCTGTGTGCATCATCAAAGAGCGGTGGCGCAGTGGTTAATGCACTCCCCTACGAACCTGGGTACCAGAAATATTTCAACATAAAAAAAACGAATGGCGACGAAATAACGTTGGGTAATCTCCAACGTCTCCTGTGAAGCGCGGTAATAACCAGGGCGGACGGTCAGAGCCTAACCGTGAATCTCGGCACTGAACGACGCAACGACTCACTATTGTCACCAGAAGAACGAACACGTATGCACAAATATTTGGTTACTGTACCCCACGCACTGCATTGCGTGTTTTCTCTGGGCACTCCGTGTTCTTTAAAAAGAAACACAAAAAAGGAATGCTTGTGCAATATACACACTCGGTTTCCAACAATTTCCGCCGAAGTAAGGCAGCTTATTAAAACAAGAAAAAAAACCCACAAATATCATCACGATACGCATGGGTCTTCTATCGATTTCCAACACGCGTTGAAAACTAATTTCTTTAGATTGAAAACTCATTTCTTTTAGAACTGCTTTTTGTTTGTTAGTTTGTTGTCCTTCCGGCCCGCACCTCCAATGAGCACTGTATGCTTGCGACAGAAGTTCAAGGTACCGTGTACATTGTGCTCGGAGGTAATTCATTCATCAACTCGCAGGACGCGATGAGACCACGGGGCTCGGATAGTGTCACCGCGGGGCAGGGCGCGCCTCGACCGGCAGGGCCGCCACGCTGTGGCGCGTCTTTTTAGCGCTGGTTCGTGCCTCCAAGATCAGGGGACATGCCTCGGATCAATTGACCGGGGTGGTTTCAACAGGGTTACGACGTCTCAAATACCAACGCAGCTTGATGCCAGAAGTGTGGTTGATGTCGGATCATCTTCACGAGAGTTATATTTCCTCTACGTTACGTTAATCGTCCAGAATAAATCATCAGGAAGGCTTGTGCGCTACATGGAATGAAAGTCGCAGTCGCCTCTCGAGATTTAAGGTTGAGATTCTATTCAAAAATCGATTGTGTAACATTGGGGTGAATGTAGCGGCCTCTAGTGGCTGCAACGGGTCACCAAAACCCATTGTTTGCACCGGACTCAATCTAAAAGTTAAACACATTATGTAATGACACTGCGTGAACAAGCACAAATATAACACAAGTCAAGACATCCATTCGTCAACAACACTGTAGAACAATATATAATTAGGCGACGTTTCGGAAAACGGCCCTTCTTCATAGCACGCCCGATTAGCACGGTTGGCTACGTACGGTGTGAAAGAAGTTCAACGTACACACGCACACAGCACATACGCATCGAAATCAATCGTTTTCTCACTTGCGCGATTCGGCGCACGCATCGGTAGCTAAATCACACGTATCTCTACATTCATTAAATATAACAATCGATACAATAGTCATCCGTCACACCGACATCACCCTCCGTCTCAAAACCTCTCCAAGTTGTGGTTCCCAACCACCCCTACCCCCCAGGGACGCTGCAATTCGTAATCCCCACTCACGGCTTTATGTTTCAAGAA